TGAGTAAAAGCACGGAAGGTGAAGGTGCAGGTGAGCAAGAAGTGAGATAAGCAGAACAGCCAAAACAAAAGTGAGAAAAATAAACCCCATGCCGGCTAAATCCAGAAAAAACCTGTCAGGGACAGCTCCTCAGAGATGGACATGCGCATTAAAGAGAAAAAGTATCCTTAACATGACCCCATATGGTAATCAGCTCATTAAAGCTCATGCATGTGGACTGCATATCATGCATGTACTTAAAATTATGGGATGGAGGTGACACAAAAGGGCCAAAGTAACTAAGCAACACATCTATCAGTCAAAAAGGCAGACACTGGCTAGAGATTAGGCAGCCTTGGGAAGAGAAGAAACACACACACACATACACACACACAGAGCCAGAGTGCACCAAACTAATGTTGATCTCATCTCCCAGAGGTCAGTCCACTCTCCCCCTCTGAGAGCGTAATACTGTGCTTATTAAGCTTTTGCCGCTTTGCTTTGCTATCTGTGCGTGTCTCATCCAATTCGTTGTCTGGGACACCGAAAGCCTGGAGCTGCAGGGCACCATCCGGTAGCATTCCACCCTCAGCCTCCCAAGTAGCTGGGACTGCAGGAATGTGCCACTGAGCCCATCAAACAACACAAGCTTATTAACTTACAGTTCTGTAGGTTACAAGTGTAACATGGGTCTCACTGGGCTAAAATTAGGGTGTCAGCAGGTCTTTGTTCCTTTCTGGAGCCTCTAGGAGAGAATAGGTTTCCTTTCCTTTTCCAGCTTCTAGAGGCCACCTGTGTTCTCTAGCTCATGGCCCTCTCCTCCATCTTCAAAGTCAGCAATGTAGCATCTCTCTGACGCTTCTTCCTTTGTCATGTCTTGTTTTCTGGCCACAGCTAGGAAGGCTTATCTGATTTTAAGGATTCGTGTAAATAGATTTGGCACAGTTGGATAATCCCCCATGTCAAAGTCCTTAACTTTAATCACATCTGCAAAGTCCCTTTTGCCATGTAAGATAGACACCATAGGATTAGGACATGGATATCTCTGGGGAGCCTTCATTCTGCCTACTACCACTGCATGATAGTGAGGGTGTGTATGTGTATGTGTGTGTGTGTGTGTGTGTATGTGTGTGTAGGTCTGTGTCTACTCAGCCTTTGCCTCTGACGCAGAGGGCCTCTTTTCAAACTTTGTGTCTATTTTGCTTTAGTCAAAGTAAGGAGAAACCTTAGCCCATTAAACCTTAGTGAAGAAACCTTACCATACATTTGTGGTAAGTAAATATATGCAAAATCACCATGGGAGTAGGGACCTGGCTGGAGCACCTCTCCTGGGGCTGGCTTTCTAGGGAACTGGAACATAACCCACAGAGATCCCTTCCAACTCATCTATCCATCCCAAAGTCAGAGTCAAGTCTAGGGAGGCCACAATGACAGGAAATAAATGAGGTGTTGAGCGACCATGAGGCAGAACAAGCCTTATACCCTAGGCTAAGGTGCATTCCCTCGGCCAGCCCACCCAAGTGGAGCTTGCCATCCCCTCCCACCCGACCAGCCTGCCCTCCACACACCGTGCTCTCCCGCCTGTGCATTCTCCTCTTTTCTCCATACCACAGCCCTGCCTAGGGAGGCCCCTCCCACCTGGGAGGTTTTCTCTTTCTTCCTCTCTGACTCTAACTCTGAAGCATCCTTCAAGACCCAGCTGGAGTCTACCCTGCTCAAGGAAGCCTGTCTCAACATGTCCCTGTCCTCCTCCAAGGGTGTGCATTGTCGTTTGAGCACAGGGTACTGTCTCCTGGTCCTGTTTGGTTCACTGTGCCCATCACCAAGATGGCCACACAACAGGCCCTCAGTCAACACCTTGTCCTGGGCACACCACACCCTTTCAGGCCTCTGCACTTCTGCACATGCTATCTGCTCTTGACTAGAATGTTCTTTCCTGACTCCTCTTGCAAGGTCTCATCTCCTTTGAGGAGCCTTCTCCACCTCCCCTCCCATGCTGCTCTTCTCTTTTTAATATTCCCAGTTTTCTCTTTTATACCATTCACCACGTGAACTACAATTCCATGAGACTCAAGGAAACAAATCCATCTTACATAAACATTTGTTGAGTGGCTACTCTGTGCTAGACGTTGTGCAAGGTATCAGGGAAATAGAAATGAATCACACAGAGACCTGGCTTCCGGGGTCTAATGACTTGCCTTAGGCTGGTACCCACACCAGACTGGGTAGTTGCAGAGGACTAGGACTAGGGCTCAGATCGGATTCCTCATCGGTAAGCACATACCAGCCCATAATGAAGCTTTGTGGAACAGTGCAAGATTGACATTCTTGAGTTGTAGCATCAGCTCAGACAAGCTGCTTTACTTTTCTAAACCTTAGGTTCCTCATCTGCTAAATGAGGGCAGAATTCCCAGGGCTGGGCTAAGGATAAGTAGAGACCAGGAGTGGGAAAACCCAATGGAGACCAACCATCTCTCCGTATGTATGAAAGATAGTGACTGTGACTGTGACATTCTCTTCTGTCCCCTACCAGAGCCAGCCATGCTCCTCAAGGCTTCTGGAGGAATGAGTAAGCAGCTCTCACTAGCACTGAATTCACACCATTCAACTCTGGCCCTTCCTGGATCCTGGAGAATTCTCCGCATAGAGTCAGGGTTTCCATCTGCAGCCTCTGGGCTCTGGATTTCTTGATTTCTATTGAGAAATCCCCATCCTGCCCTTGCTTTCTGTTCCTAGGCCCTGGTTTGTATAAAACACAAATAAGGCATAGGTAAAAATCTAAGAACAGAAAGGGCCAAGCTAAGGGAATCCCTTCTAGGGATTTACATCAGAGCGGTGACATGGTTAAGATATTATGTTAGAGAACGTGGAAGCTTGTGAATGAGGAGACATCTACCTAGGGTCCCTAGCAAGTCAGCAATAAGACAAAGGTGAGACCCAAGATGTTCGGCCCCCATCCCACACACTCCATATAGGGCCACCAAAGACCTTCCCTATCTGGGTCCCCTATCATTCTTTCTCATCTCTTTCCATTCCATACATCTAGTTCTACCTAGATTCTCAATGTTCTCCAAACATGCCCTTGAATGAAATATGCCTCTTTGTGCACACTCTTTTCCCACTTATCTACCAGTGGGCTTAACGTCTACTCATCCCTCAAGGCCCACTGAAATGTTTTCTTTTCTGGAACAAAAGTCTAAACTTAGTTTGTCCAGAACCCAATTATCTCTCCTTTCTCTATGTCCTCTATGTTCTCTACATTGATTTTAACATTTATTACCCTCCTCTATAATTGTCTCTAATTATCTTAGTTCTCACTATACTCTATTTTTCTCCTGGGCAGGAATTATTTCTACTTCCCTTTTGTCCCCAGGGCCTAGAAAGGTGTCCGGCGCTCAGCTGGCACTCAATAAATATCACCAACTAACCAGTCGTCATGACTTACTGATCCTGGCTGATGACCTTGAAAAGAAACTCTGTTACTAGGGAATTTCCAGCAGGCAGAGTTATCAAGAAGGACAGGGGCAAATGGTGCCTGAGGTAGGAATCCTGTAAGAAAAAGATGCCAGAGGACACTATGCTCAAGGCCATTATAGGCCCTCTGCACTTGTATTCTCTCTCCCTGAAATGCTCTTCCCCAAATATCAGAAGGCTCTCTCCTCCTTCAGACCTTTACTCAGAAGCCACCTTCCCAGTGACTTCCGTGGACCCCCAATCTAAAATAAAATACCTCCCTTGCAAACAGTTTATTTCCACTTATCAGATTTATTTTTTCTCCTCAGTATTTACTAAAATCTTAAAACTACATATTTTAATTATCTATGTTCTTTATTGTTTACATCTCTCAGAATGAAGGCTGCATGAAAAGAGGAACTTTTTTGATCTGTTTTGTTTACTACTGTATACCCGCTACTAAGAATAGTGATAGACATATACTAAGGCACTCAATAGGTATTTGTTGAATGAATGAAAAAAATAGTCATTTCCAAGAGGTAAAGTTTACTCTTTAATGAAAAATTTTATAAGAAGCAGTGCTACTTGGCAATATAATCACATTCAGTATGCACAGTACACGACCTCTTGAACAATTCTTATCCAGTCTTCACATCAGCCCAGGATAAGAGGTAGGCTGGGGAGAGATTATGAGGCTGGTTGATGAAGAAACTGAGTCCAGAAAGAGGAAAAGGACTTCCCCAAACCCACATATCTGGCCAGGATCGTACTGGAACTGTGGATGCCTGCTAGCCCTGGAAGAGGCTGGTAAGTGATGGAGCTTAATAGGAATTGGGTTTGAAGGATCTCTGTTGCCAGAAAGCATGAGTATCTCTAAAGGGGAAGCTGAGTCAGAGGTTACTAGAACAGAGGCGTCAGCAAAGGAATGGGAGAGGTGAAAAGGCTGACCTCTAAGGGATCCTGGCCCAGGCCTGAGGGAAGCTGATTCCCCCAGCAGCAGAATGCTGTGCCTGAGGCTGTCATTCAAGTCTGTACATAATCTCCAGTATCAGAGAGAACTCAACAGGCAACCTTAAGAGAACAGTGAGTCCACTGCAAGTCTGCAGGGTTTGGCTTCCCGGGACTGTGAGGTCTTCCAGGGCAGCGACCATATTCATAGATTTATCCCCAGTTTCTAGGAGAGCCTGGAATATAGTAATAGTTGAACTCAAATATTTTGTTCAGAGCAAAAATTAAAAAAGAATGAATGCTCAGATGGAAAACTGAAGCTGAGAGAGCACAGACAGGAGGGGCGTAACATCAACCAGCGATTCTGGGGTAGAAACAGATTAGTTTTCCTGGGATGCAGTAGGGCAAACGGCCCTCGTACTAAGAAGTTGCTATCAGTTCTTCAGAAGGGGTTAACAAGCAAAAGGCGTCTGGGAACAAAGGGACGGGTTAAATCGTGCTGTCGGGGCGGGGCCAGGATGGAGAGGCCGATTGGCTGAGACTCAAGGCGGGGCAGATAGGCGCGGCACAATTCCTTCCCTAACAATAAGGCTAAGGTATGTCAACGTCACATCCGGTTTAGTGGGCGGGAGCGGGGAAAAACAAAAGGAGACGAAGGACGCATGCGTTTGGTGAGTCCCGGATTCTGGTGGGTTCTTCCGCTCAGGCTGAGTGAAGCGCTTCCGGGTCGCCGCTGGCGGTCGCCTACCCGCGCGGTAAGTACAGAAGGAAGGCTGCGGCAGTCTCCTTGCCCCTTCATTCCTTCTTACCCCAGAGAAACCCATTTCCTTTGACCCGACTCTTCTGGAGCTCCATATTCAGAGTCCTTAACCCGTAAAGATCTCCAGCTCATTGGCTGCTTCCTCGAGACTAAGCCCCACCCCGTCACACAAGATCCGTCATTCATTGGTGTCACTTCCTGTCACCCAGGATTTCTTTCAGCTAATTGGTCCTACAGAGGCCCCGCTTTTTTAGCGTTTAGCAACCCTATAAGGCCAAATTTCTGTCTGAGTCCCGCCCCTACTTTCTTTCTGTTGGTCAACTGCGTGGTCATTATCGTAATAAGCAAAGAATGGGCGGTGGCTTTGCGGCGGTGGGTTGGGCTTTCGGAGCCAAGAACTCTGGCCTGTCAGTACTTCTTGGACAAGAGGGTGTTTGCCCTTGTGCCTATTACGAGGGTTGGAAAGCTGAGATGCAGGGAAGGGCAGCGGCTGGCCCTGGATCGGTCAGATAAATTAGGACAAAAGCAGGATCAGGCATCGATTCTTTTCTCCTGCTTATCTCTAACGCCGGCCTGGATCCCTTTCACCGGGGAATTCTAAGCCCCGACTCACTGTGTGACCTAAAGCCAGTCTCTGCCTGTCGCTGGGCCTCAGTTTGCCTGTCCTCAGTTTAATTCAGATTATCTGGCACTCCTGGTCGGCTCTTTTAGCCCTTCAAACAAAGCTGATTGTACTCTCATATGTTAGTTCATCCATTCAGTCTTCCATCTACTTACTTATCTACTTATTCATGCCTCCTAGAATGTCTTACTGAACCCTGCTTGCATATGCTTACAATCCCCCCACCCCGACATTTGGCTGTGATTCATTAGAGAGGTGGTTAGTGTCCTAAATTTTTGACACTGGGTAGGTGTGGTATAGACCATCATAAAGGAGCAAAAAAAGCAGGTTTTAGTGTATAGAAGAGGTAGGGATAATTTCAGTAGAACCCTGCTACCTCTAATTTTGTATAATTTCATAATGCCAGTCTGCATTCTGGATTTCTATTCTTACACTTGACTCCCATTCCCCTCCCTCCTTGAACAGCCTGCAAACAGCTTTATCCATTATTTACTTAATTATCAGAATAACTTTTGAGAGTGGTATAATTGTTATTATCCCCATTTTACAGATGAAGACACTGAGGCCCAGAGAGGTTAAGTGACTCAGCCAAGGTCAAAGAACTAGTAAGTGGTGGAGCCAGGACTCAAACCCAGGTCTGTCTGATTCCTAGTGGGGAGGGCTGCTTCCCTGGTATCTTCCACCCTATCCCTAAATCAAGGTACAACCAAATAAAAATGAAAACAAAACACATTCACTTGACCCTTTCCCTCAGTCTAGGAGCCATGTCCACTTTGTTCCCCTCACTCTTCCCTCGTGTGACTGAGACACTGTGGTTTAATCTGGATCGACCCTGTGTGGAAGAGACAGAGTTGCAGCAGCAGGAACAGCAGCATCAGGCCTGGGTGAGTGAGCACCTAGCACAGCACAGAGACCCCCTTCAGTGGGCCATGACCGAGCCTTACTGTGGAGATCTGCCCAGGAAGAGCTTTCGCCCTGAGCTGGGAATAATCAGTCTGGGAGCCTGGGAGCCAGGGAGCCAAGGTTTTCATCTTGTAGTACCCTAATTTACAGGGGGACCATGGGACTTCTGGGCCAGATTAGAGCTCAGGCTGCTCATACTCAGCCCAAGCTCTTTTCCCTAAAGCATAGGAAATGATTTTGACTATTAATTGAGGATCTAGCAGATGACACTTTCTAGGCTGGTAAGTCTCTCACTTCATCCTCAACATAATTATATGAGAAAACCAAGGCTCCGAAAGTTTAATTATTTGGATCAAGTTCATAAATGGCAGATGACAAGAAAGAGATTGAATCTTCCTAAGAACTGGGAGGAAGCTTCTCCCCGACACGTGTAGGTCTTCTGGGTAGAATGGGCCAGTCCTATGCCCCTGACCTGCCCTACTTGGGCTTTGGCCTTGTTCCTCCATGCCTTTGCCCACAGCTCCAAAGCATCGCAGAGAAAGACAACAACCTGGTTCCTATTGGCAAGCCAGCATCAGAGGTGAGTGGCTCCAGCAGGTGGGGCCCTTGTGGGTCCCAGGGTGGACCGAGGGTCTGCTCTAATTCTGAATATCCTGTCTCTGACCTAGAGCAGTTGTGGTTCTCAGATCTGGGTGAAGGCCGAAAAGGGGAGACAGAAGGGGTGGGCACTGGGCCTAGCACTAAGGTCCTGCAGAACATGCACCAGCTTGCTAGATTCAAGGAGGGCAGGGTTGGGGGGTGGGGGTGGGGGTCATTCATTGGCCCTAGAGAGAGGCTCCAAGTGGGTCAATTCTTGAACTGGTTCACACAGGCCTGTAGGGCTTACAGGCTTTCATCTGTCCACCAGCACTATGATGATGAGGAGGAAGAAGATGATGAAGACGATGAGGATAGTGAAGAAGACTCAGAGGATGATGAGGACATGCAGGACATGGACGAGATGAATGACTACAATGAGTCACCTGATGATGGAGAGGTCAATGAGGTAGACAAGGGGTATAGGGGAGGGCCTCTGTTCCTGGGCCCCTGCTTCTGACCCGATTGATGGCCAAGGGGTACAGAAACCCTGGATCCAGCCAGGGGCAGGATCTGGGGCTGAGGCTGGCTGAGGCTCCTCCCCACCCACACCCAGCCTCCTCTCCAGGTGGACATGGAAGGCAACGAACAGGATCAGGACCAGTGGATGATCTAGGTAGACAAGGCAGGGTGGCCTCAGGGAGATTCCAGGCCAGCCCAACCTACCCTGCATCCCAACCCCCAACCCCTGCCCACAGAACCAGCTGATGGCCCCAGTGCCTGAAAGTGCCCTTGGGTACCTCCTCAGTTGCTGCCAGGATCTGGTGTCCTTGGCCCCTCCCAGGCCATCAGTCTGCACTTGAAATCCCCAGGGCCTGAGCCCCACTTCACCTTCCTGGCCAGTACCTCATCCCTTGGTTGCCAGGTCTGGTTTCTTTCTAAGTTTCTTTAATAAAGACAAAGGAGTGATTTTTCCCCATGTCTATTCCCTGTTTGTTGGTGGGGCCCAGAGGAGCCCAGCATCTTCTCTTGGGCTTTGGGGAAAGGGCACTCAAGGGGTATCAGGCAAACCTAATTGGCTATGTGGGCCTGGGTTGGGGAAGGCCAGGGCATTCCTGGCCCTGGGCCCAGGGTTCTGTACCATTTCGTCTGTCCCAGTGTGTATCCAGCTATTCCTGCAGGGCCTCTGACTCACTGTCTGCCGCTTCCTGTGATCCCACCCAGCATGGCATGGGTTGAGGATGAGACGCTTTCTGAGGCCAAGTGCTAGAAGGCCCTTGGAGCTCTCCCAGCCAACTTCCTTAGTGTTAAATCTAAGAGAGAAGATTAAATCTCAGAGCAAGGCAAGGATTCCCTTGGAGTCACTCAGCAAATCAGTGACAGAGCTGGGTTGGGAGCTCAGGCTTCTTGCTGTCAGTCCATGGTTCTCTCTGGAAAGAGGGGGCCTAGTGAGACCAAGCAATCTGATAGAAGTTGACACTTCAGGTCAGTGTAGAGGCTGAAAGGGGTCAGAGGTGGGAAGAGAGCCTCCCCAGCCCTAAACTCAGCATGTGTCAGGGCCCAAACAGGAAAGGGAGGGGATATTCTGAGGTCCTTGCTTGGGTGGGGGTGGGAATGGGAGTGGGAGTGGACATCAGTAAGTACCCCTGGGCCTGGACCTCAGCCTGGTCCAGCATAGGTGAGCTGAGCTATGCCATCCTTAATAGCAGGGAAGTCTGGAAGGCCAGTGTGGTGGAGGCGGCAACGGTAATGGCCACAGCTCTTAGCATATTGCAAGAAGCGGGGTGCACCAGGGAAGAGCACATGGTCAGCCAGCACAGTGGCACCTGCTGGCAGTAGAGCATGGGCTTCCAGCAGTTGCAGGTCCCTCAGGTAACATCGTGGCCGGTGTGCCAGGAGCACCAGGTCTGCCCGATTCAGCTGATGCTGGGTACGTAAGCACGGGATCACCTCCTCTGAGCTGCCCACGATGAGCTCCACCTGTAGGGGTAGGAGGAGCTGGATGTGAGGGCTGGGGGAATTGTTCTCTCACTGGAGACCCCACCAAGATCTGGCTTACTTCATGCCAGGTCCTGGTTTAGCTCCCCACGAGTGTTCTCACATTTCCTCTGACCTCAGACCCCAAGAAGTCAGGATCAGTATTGTGATTTCCATTCTGCCTGTGAAGAAGCTGAGGTTTGGAGGATACATGCTTTGCTCAATGTCACATAGCTAAGAAGAGGCAGAGTAAGAGTTGGACTCAAATTTGCTGGGTTCCAGAGACCTTCCTTTTAGCTGTTTCTTTTGTCATCCAGCAGAAAATAATGTGCAGATGACTTGGGACAGGAGAGCAGGAGCTCACACACCATCCAGCATCACAGTCCCCAGAGTGGAGCTGCTTCCTTCTCCTTAGATGGGAGTCCCTTACAAGGGATGCCTGGCTAGGGCAAGGCCTGGGGTGACAGAGAAGAGATCTGGTTGGGGAGATGGGAGGCTGACCATTCGCTCATCAAAGCCGGCCAGGCGGATGAGTTTTTCAGCCACTGCTGCCGTGCGTGGGTCCCGCTCCACAGTGAGAAGGCGACCCCCAGGGGGCAGGGCTCGGGCAATAAGCAGGGTAGAGTATCCACAGTAGGTTCCCAATTCCAGCACACAAGCAGGGGCCTTCTCCTCCACCAGCCGCATCAGGATCTGACCTATGAGGGGAGATGGCTGTTGCAGAAGACATGGGAGATGGATGCAGGGCCCCTGATAGAAAGAGATCTCAAATGCCCGCCTGCCTCACTGAAGCTCTCAACCAGCTGAGGTCTCATCTGTCCCTTGTACCATAGCCCCAGCTGCCCTCCTGGTCCCCCCCGTCTCCTCTAGTGTAGTCTTCACACCAGCCCTGAAATCTTTCCAACAAATCTGACCGTATTACTCCTTGACTCCTGTGAGCTGAAGGCCTTTGGGATTGAACTTGGGATCCTCAGCCTGGCATTCAGAACCTTGGACCTTATCCTATCCTACCTTTCCAGGTTCATCTCTCAGTACTTCCCACCTATGGCCTGTATCACAGCCATTGCAAACAACTGTGCCCAAAATCCATCATGCTGTCTCATTGCTTCATGCCACATTTGTGTATGTGGCTGGCTTTTCCCTTCCCACCCCATCTCCATTTGCCTGGCCAACTCAAAACTAATCCTTCCAGACTCAGTTCAAATGTTGCTTTCTCTAGGAGGTCCCAGGCAGAAACAACCACCCTATCTTTCAGATTTATGAAAAGTCTCCGTTAGAATTTGTAGTTTCATTCCCCTTTTATTGCTTATTGAAAATATTTGTGACCTTAGAATTGGATGAATTTCTGTTTTGTTGTTGTTGTTGTTGTTGTTGTTGTTTTTTAGACTGGGTCTTGCTCTGTTGCCCAGGCTGGAGTGCAGTAGTGTGATCACGGCTCACTGCTGCCTCAACCACCCAGGCTCAGGCAATCCTCCCACCTGAGCCTGCCAAGTAGCTGGGATCACAGTTGCTCACCACCACACGCAGCTAATTTTTAAAATTTTTTTGTAGAAATGGGGGTCTCGGGCCGGGCGTGGTGGCTCACACCTGTAATCCCAGCACTTTGGGAGGCCGAGGTAGGTGGATCACAAGGTCAAGAGATTGGGACCATCCTGGTCAACATGGTGAAACCCCGTCTCTACTAAATACAAAAAATTAGCTGGGCATGGTGGCGCGTGCCTGTAATCCCAGCTACTCAGGAGGCTGAGGCAGGAGAATTGCCTGAACCCAAGAGGCGGAGGTTGCGGTGAGCGGAGATCGCGCCATTGCACTCTAGCCTGGGTAACAAGAGCGAAACTCCGTCTCCAAAAAAAAAAAAAAAGAAATGGGGGTCTCACTTTGTTGCCCAGGCTAGTCTCGAACTCCTGGGCTCAAGTGATTCCCCTGCCTCAGCCTCCCAAAGTGCTGGGATTACAGGCATGAGCCACTGAACATTCATATTTCTTAAATAAGACCCTAAAAGCACTTGTGCTGGGATTGAGATAAATCCAGGCAGACAGCTACCCTAAATGGGATGTGGAAGCCTCCATGGTGGAGAAGAAAGATGTGGACATAGATTATTACAAAGCTATGGGTTATATGCTGAGATGGTTATTCCACTGTGTATTATGCTTCCTTTGAGGCCAGTATTTGTGGCTTGTTCATCTGTGTGACCTGTACCCCCCTCCCTGGCACCTAGCACATTCCTAATACAAAAGAAGTGGCAATAAATGTTTGATGAATAAATGACTTCATTCAAGCTCCTCATTTCCAGATGAGAAAAAGACCCTAAAAGAGGACCAAGAACTTGCCCAATTCACCCAGGAAAGCAGCAACAGATCCCAAATCTTCCTTCACGAACTTAGGGGTACTTCCTGGAGCAGAAAGCTAGGGAACACTGACCTTTGACAGGCCCCATATGGCTCAAGTACTCGCAGTGGCTGCTCCAGTGGTCCAGAGTGGTGAGGATGTGGCCAGGGTCACCAGGCAGGGCATGGGTGAGTACATAGCTGAAGGCCCGCTCCTCAATCCGCAGCCCTGACAGGCAGTCTCGGAGGCTTCGCAGCAAGACCGTGCGCACCAGCAATCGGAAGTAGTGCCGGTACCGCACCAGCAATGTTACCACCAGTGGCAGGAAGGCCAATGCAATGGCAGGGGACATGGTCCCTACCTGGGCCCTGGGGTGGAGGGAGGTAGGGAAGGAAACCCACACTCAAACAGTTTGCCTGTTATTTGTGTAGCCTTTGCCAGTAGCAGTTACTGTCCTTATATTTTACAAACCACAGCTCAGAAAGGCCAAGTTTTTTGTCTAGAGTCACACAACGGAACTGGGATTTAAATCCAGGTTAGTATGATTCCAAGCCTGTGTACTTTCAAGGACTCCATACTATTTTCAGCACCCAGCCCCAAACCTCCTCTTCCCAGTCCCAACCACTGTTCCCATCTTCACATTGTTCCCCTGACTTGTTTTGCTTTATCCCTGAAGTCACCCCTTCTTTAGGACCCTTTTCACTAGTTCCCCTCTGGGATATCTTTCCCCAACCCTGCCCCCTGCCTGCCTGCCTGGTTTCCTCTGACCATTGCTGTGTAGCAGGAGCATAGATTTGCAGTCAAAAACACCTTCACTATTACTGTGCTCTGCCTCAGTAAAAGGCAATCAAAATACTCCATAGGGTGTTAGGGTGAAATGTCCTCTTTCCCACTCCAGGACTCTCCTGCCTGCTCTTCCCTGCAGATGGGAGGAGTCTTTGATTCTGTAATAATTTTCCAGCCCTATCTCCTCTCCCTTATATTCCCCTCTTCCGCTGTGCTGTCTCAGAATTCCCTTCACAAATGTGTACATACACGTAACACACAGCACACATTTTCCCTCTACTCAGCTCTCCTCTCCAGGGCCCTGTGGTGAATGGGCCTCTCCTCCCATGTCCTGGATCATTCTCTCCCTCATATAGATCTGACCTTGCAGGCCTTCTTGCAAGGCCCCTGGTGGTGGTGGGGAGTAAAATGAAAGTAAGAGTGTATGGATGGGTGTGAATAGGTGAGTGATGCAGTGGACTTGAACTGGTGTGCTTGGGAACCCACAATCCAGGGCCCTGCTTACCTGGGCTAGAGGCTCCTGCTTAGGGAAGACCAGAGCACAGGACAGATGAGGGAGTGCTGGGCCTGCTGCAGGGGATAACCCTAAGGCAGGAGGCTGGACTGGCTTTCCATTATTCATGTTGAGGCTGCTGCTGTCACCTGAGATCTGCAGTTCAAGTTACCAGCCCCAGGGATGAGCTTTAGCTGCCTCCTACCCTTCAGGAACCTCAAAAGATTTACAGAACTTTAGGGTCTTGATTTGAGGGGTACTAGATCTGGTGACTTCTCCGACCCCTTGGATCAGAAGATGGGGCATGATGTGAGCCAATGTGATGGGTGACTGTAATATACTCATTGATATGCAAGTTTTCTGTAAGCAATGCCATGCCTTGGGCCACAGGTAAGAGTCAGAATCTGTTATTGTGCTCCAGGAACTCCAAGTTTGGTAGGTGAGATTGACCCAGGAACAGAATACAATATAGTGTGATCACTATTGGATATTCCATGACTAAGGGGACTTTGGCTGTTTTGTGAACTGCGGCATATCCAGATATAACTGTTTGTGGCACATAGTAGATGCTCATCAAGTATTTGTTGATTCAATAAATGCATGAATCAACACTGGATGAGGATTAAGCATAGGGAGGTGGACATGTCCAGAGAATGGGGTCAGAGAAGATAATCAGGAGGACATTGTGCTGAGTCTTGAAGACAGCAGGCAGACCTGGTGGGGAGACGGTGTGTCAGGCTGCATGTGCAGAGTCCAGTAGATCAGTCAGGAAACTGCATTATTTCTGTGTCCAGTGTAACACATTGCTTACCCCTCCACCCCTCACCTCTCCCAGGACATGGAGTGGGAGAGAGGTGTTAGGCTCTGCACGACTTTGATATGTAGGACAGGTAATGTCCCCAAATAAGATTTGAGGGTAGCACATTTCACACCTGCGGGTGAACACCCAATCACATGTTCATGAACAACAAAAGGATCACTGTACAATCAAGGACAGACTTGGACCTGTGTTCAGGGCCCAAAGGAAGACATGGGAGGGTTTTAGGAAAAGAGAACTGATGGTCAGCTTTGTGCGTTAGATTACTGCGGGTGCTGTAAAAAAGTAGGATTAAAGATAAAAGCCTGAAAGCAGAGAGGTCAGTGATGTGGCTTCTATCTCCTCCGCCAGGATTTATGTCCGCTCCGTGTCAGCATGTGAAGGTAGTATAAGGTCCCTTCTTCCTGTAAGTCGCAGATCCTCAGCCTAGGTGGACAACTCAGCTGAGCGATACACATGCTGTGTTCCCCGACTTGGTACCGGTCACCTGGGTCCTCTGTGTGTGCACCCAGGCTGTCCGCTCTAGAAGTGTCAGGCCTGGATCCCACTCGCCCCTCACATGGCATTTAGAAGGGTATTATGAGGGCATACGGTACGAGTTTGCTCAATGGCCCAGAAAAGTCGCCTAGTGCCCACGCGAACGCATAACAATTCACGACGGCTACTACTGCCAGTTTAAGAGACTGGAAAGATAAAGTCAGGTGATCCGCCCCTGCGTTTCCTTGTATCACGTGCCTGCGTGTCTGGTTACGCAGGTTTCGCCTTCCCACTGGTTGACAACGATCACGCGCTAGCGGGCGGGACCGGAAGCCGGGGTATTGACTGAGGCGGACAAGCGTCTCCGGGACCGGGGAGACGGGAGGAGGGAGTGGGTTGTTGCCTACGGGAGGCAGCCGCAGGTCATGTGACCGGAAGGGCTCCTGACGGACGCCGTCCCTCCTCGGCGCTGCCTGAGCGCCCGGCCCGACCCCGGCCATGGGGTGCTGCTACAGCAGCGAGAACGAGGACTCGGACCAGGTGCGGCCGCGGCAGGCGGGGCTCGGGAAAGAGGGCTAAGACCCTGGGGCATGGGGCCCAGAAAGAAAAACCTGCGGAGGACGGGCAGCCGGACTGTAAGGCTCACTGAGTACGGAGGCCTGGAGGGGACAGATTACAGAGGAGACGCCAAGCCCGGCTCCTACCCCTGTTAAATCTCCAGCTTTCTAACAGTCCCCACCTCGGGGTGTGCAGGCAGCCGCCTGTCCGGCTCGCTCTCACCAGTTCCGTTTGCTCCTACCTTCAAAACTTTACAGATTGAGGGATCCTCAGTCTAGGTCCCCGGGAAGCACTCCCTTCCCAGCTTCCTGTGTCTTCTGTATTAGTGGGATTTGCGAATTCCTTGTAGGTGTAGGTAAGCTGAGGCCCTGAGTTAGTCTGTCCTGAGATGAATCAGGAATTTGTGTATCCTCTTCGTCCCTGGGGTTGCAGAAGGAAGGTCGCTGCTAGTCTAGGGCCAGAGGACGACTCTGGAAGTTGGTGGCCTTTGAGTTGGCCAGTGAGGGATTTAATCGATACAATGAGGACATCGGGACATGTGGAAAGTTGTCTGGGAAGCAACAAAGAGGGTTTAGCTTTGGCTAGATTGTGGGAAAAGAAATGGAACAGGAAGTTCATTTGGTTCTGATTTTGGCTTGCCTCAGTGCAGTCTCTTCCTGGGGCCTGAGGGTTCCTTTAGTTGGAGACTGCCCTGTTCTGAGAATTTGGCTGTAGATCTGATCCCTTTGAAGAAAGGATTAGGCTGGGGAGACTTGAACAGTTTTAAATTCTCCATCTTCCCCTTACTGCATTCTCACTTCTCTCCACACTCGAATCCCTGCCCTGCCTGGCCTGACATTCAAGGATGAAGTCTCAAATTGCTGTCCACTCTCCTTTTTTGATTTTATCTAAGCCTGGATTCTACATTTGAACACATAGTAGACCTGAGAAAGTAGAAAGGTTTCAAGTAGCTCACAGTATAATGGGGGAGATGGTCACCGAAATAATTATGTCATTGGTACTGGGGAAGTAGTTTTTTCTGCAGTGAAGGTATTTTGGATTAAGGGCTTAGGCCTAGGAAAATGTCATTTGTATGGGAAGCAAGGGTGGCTCCTGGTTCTCAATTCTCCATACACCCAATGAACACATAATTCCTTTGCCCTGTGTTAGGTATGTGTCATGCCCAATACCTCTCACTTCACCTCCACCTTTTTGAGAAAGAGATAACAATAATCCTGCCTACCTGCAGAGCTGTGGCCTAGTGGGAAATTGTCCCTTAAAGCATAATATGGACTTAGGGAATGAGTCAAGAAAGATTAATGCCTTATGAGAAAGGATACCAGCTTCTAGTTGGAAGGGAGAGCTGGGCCTGCTGCTCTCCTGAATCTCTGCCTTCTCCTTAGTGGGCTCTCATTTCTGTTTCTGGCCCCCAGAGAAGGTGCTTAATCACTGCTAGGTGTTCTGAGGCTTCATGTAACGGGGCTATAACCATCCACCATCCCAGAGTCCCTCTTTCAGTTCTTGCCAGGCCCCTCACCTACCCTCATCTGTCTTCTATCATAATAAAAAGAATTGCACAACACATTACAGTTTACAAAGGGCCTTCACACTTATCTAATTTGACTCTTGCCAGATATGTCATATTAGTGTGAATTATGTCTATTTAAAGGTGAGGAAGAAGTTCAGAGAAGCTAAGTGATTTAGTCAAGCTGAAGTGCTATAGCCCAGGTGTTGTGATGCCAAGCCATGTACGTTATCCATAGGGCCAAGCTGTCTCAGCCATGCCCCTAGACCAGGTGGCCAGTCATGGGCAGGCTGCTATGTATCTGTGCTAGGGCAGACGGTGAAACCCTGCCTCTTGGGTTACACTGACGCAGAGATGAACCTTGGTGTGACAGGCCTACCCTATGCTCCACTCGTACTTTGGGAGTTGGGTGATATTTGTCTACTCTGAAGGGGGTAGCATGACCTCTTAAGTCTACATTTCAAGAAAACAGCCTTGTTCTTCACTTGATCTTAGCTAAAATGCTGAGAAGTGATCAACTAACCTTCTTGAATAACCCCTGATAGGGAAGAGACTACCCTGTCCTGCAGGAAGATCTGTCTGAAGTGGAGCTGGGAGGACAGACATAGGAAGCTAACTTGGGCCTCATTAAGGAGCCAGCCTTCCTTAGAAATACATAGTTTTATATTTGTCAAATATTTTGTCTTTGTAGCTCTTTAATACTGAATCTATGTTTTAGGGAGGAAGGGTGTCTGGGAGTTTAGAGGTGATGGGGCAAAGCCCACAGCTTCTGTCTCTTGCTGCTGGGAACTGGATCAAATTGCCTGAGGACACTTGGGCAACCTGGGCTTGAGAAAGAAGAGTAAGGTGAAAAAGCTGGGCCTGCCTAAGCAGGGCAGGAGGAAGTGGCCCTCTACAAGGAGGGTTGTGGAGTTGGGGCAGGGGAGCTTGAGCCTGCAGCAGGAAAGACTGGGGAACTGAGGCCTGGAGGGGAGTGTTGAGGAGTCTGGCACTGAAGGTTGGTGAGTCAGCATTAGCCAGGATGTCCCCCTGGGCCCATCCTTGCTTTGTCCAGGGCACTCTTGCTCTTTATGGGTTGGATAGATATGCAGCAGGTCTTTTTTTTTTTTTTTTTCTTTTTTCCCAATTTACAGCTGATACAGCCAGCAAGGATTTGCAGCTCATGGGCTCATGGCAGGGTCAAATCCAGAAATACTACAGTGGATAGAACAGGGAACTAAAACAGGACAAGGAGTAAGACCAAACCAGTGAGGAAGCTTGGTTTGGTCTTACGTTATTTCAGGGGGTTGTGATTATCAGCACAGATCAGCAGTAACAGGGCTGCTGAAAATTTACAGGTGTTACTCAGGTGGTTTAACAAGGGAGGGAGCAGCTCCACTGTTTGTTTGTTTTTGAGATGGGGTCTTGCTCTCTTGTCCAGGCTGGAGTACAGTAGCACAATCCTAGCTCACTGCAGCCTCTAACCCTGGGTTCATACAGTCCTCCCTCTTCAGCCTCCCAAGTAGCTGGGACAACAGAGCTCACACCACCAAGTCCAGCTAATTTTTTTTTTGTAGAGATGAGGTCTCGCTTTGTTGCCCTGGCTGGTCTCAAACTCCTGGACTCAAGCAGTCCTCCTGCCTTGGGCTTCCAAAGTGTTGGGATTATAGGTATGAGTCATCACACATGTTTGCAGCTCTACTGCTCAGATCAGAATACGCCATGTACACTCAGTTTGGTTCTTGGAGTCACATACAAAAAGAGCACCAGAGCACAGGAGGGTGAACACCTTCGAAGGGACCCGCCTTCAAGAAGGGAGCACACTTGTACTGTGTGACCCAGAGCTGGGCTGAGATTCTTGCCCTGACATAATCTGAGAAATGGCCATGGAGAGGTTGGGCTTCTTTCCCTTGGGGCCTAGGGCCTTGTCTGGACTCGTCAGGGCTTCCATCTTGGAAGCAAACAGCTTTGCTGGGGAGGGCCTGGTGCTGAGGGATGAGGAGGGCTGTTCCTGGGCTCTTGACTTGCACTGATTCCCCCTCTAGATCCCTCTGCTTTGCTATGTCTCAGGTCCTCTGTCTTCCAGCCTCTAGTATCCTTTCTCCGCCAGGTCCTAGACTGTTTTTCAAGCTCCAGGGCTGTTGCTGACTACCTGCTTTGTGCCTCTGTCCATTTTTTTCAGGGCCTCTAGGACTGCCTGGTTCCACTCTTGTTTAACAACAACTCAACTGAGCTCCCAACGATAGGCAGGAACTGAGTGTTACCTGGCATTCCATAAAGCTGGGCACTCTGGATATTCCCTATAGAAATATTTTTGGTGTTTTAAGGTCAGAGCTGGGCGGAGGGCAGTACCCATGAAAGGCAGGATCTAAGGGTTCTGGGACTGACTTCTCTCCCATGGGCTCTTCTAGGACCGAGAGGAGCGGAAGCTGCTGCTGGACCCTAGCAGTCCCCCTACCAAAGCCCTCAATGGAGCTGAGCCCAACTACCACAGCCTGCCTTCCGCTCGCACAGATGAGCAGGCCCTGCTCTCTTCCATCCTTGCCAAGACAGCCAGGTGAGTGTCAGAGGACCAGGCCTCAGTCAGAGCTTCTCTATGCATATTAAAGGCTAGGATAGAGGGAGCCAGGCTCAGGACAGGGGGGATAGGACAGGGTCACTGGGGAGAGGTGCCTCCATGTCCAGCCCTGCTCCAGTAGGCAGGAAGGAAACGTGTCAGATAGCCCTGGAGTTGGTACCTAGCACTGAGTCCTGTTTGTCCTTCTCAGAAGCACCTGTCATGTCATCTCTGTCTCCTTTCCCCACAGCAACATCATTGATGTGTCTGCTGCAGACTCACAGGGCATGGAGCAGCATGAGTACATGGACCGTGCCAGGCAGTACAGGTGAGCACCTGGCCAGTGTTGGTCCCTCAGGCTACTTGGGCTCCTACCCTCCATCACTGTTCCGGCATTAGAGCCTGGCCCCTAGTCCAAGCTTCTTATTTGGGTGCAGCCCTGAAGACTGACCACAGATCACTTGATCACTTGGGTACTTCAGTAGATATTCATGTCAGCCCTGTTTACCCTGTGACATTCTTGAGGGTGCTGAGACCAAGGGAGGTGGGCCTAGAGTGAGTCTGTGATGAGCTGAGACCTCCCCTTCTTGATACCCGGCCCCTCGGCACCCTGCTTCTCTGGCTTGAGGGAATGAGGCTTACCTGGGCTGGGCAGGGCAGACTGTGGCTTAACTGTGTACCCTCATCCCCTCTCTCTTGGTCAGCACCCGCTTGGCTGTGCTGAGCAGCAGCCTGACCCATTGGAAGAAGCTGCCACCTCTGCCATCTCTTACCAGCCAGCCCCACCAAGTGCTGGCCAGCGAGCCTATCCCATTCTCCGATTTGCAGCAGGTGAGACACCCCTTGCCTGTCCCTGCCCACCCTTCCCACACTGCCCAGGGTATGGCAGAGGGTTCACCCACCCTGCCTTACAGGAGGTAGGGAAAGTGGAGTTAGGGAGCCCGGTAGCCTTGTGGGCCTCAGCTCCCTCCCACCTCATTCTCTTTAACTTTTAATGTCTTTCCTATCTCCTCCCCCTAACCTTTATTCTTTCACTCCCCTTTGTTCTTTTCCTTCTGTCTCTCCCACCCCTCTTTCCCTTTGCCTTCCTGTTCCCCATCATTCCCTCCTTCTCCTTCATCATTATCTAATCCCCCCTCCCCTTCTTTCCTGATTGCCCTCCTCACCTGTCTCTGTTCCTCTCCTCCCTGGCCCCTCTCTGTCTTAGGTCTCCAGGATAGCTGCTTATGCCTACAGTGCACTTTCTCAGATCCGTGTGGACGCAAAAGAGGAGCTGGTTGTACAGTTTGGGATCCCATGAAGAGAGGGGTCCTTGGACAGCTCTTCTCCTCTCTTCATCCCATCTCTGCCCCAACCCCCTGGCCCCCAGCCTCACTGTGGCTTATATAGTACCCTAACCTGCTACTAATCACAGAGAAAAATGTGAAGAAGGAGAAGAGCAAGGCTAGAAGCCTGAGCAAGTGAGGGTAGAACCTTTTGGACTGGCCTTTGAAGCCCTGGCCAGGGATGGGGTAGGGGCCAAAAGGACAGGGACTGGTATGTCTTCATAGTCATTGAGAATGTGAAGATACCAATTTGGGTGGGGGGTGATCACCAGGGGACCTAGGGAGATCCCCTTCCCACCCTCTCTCTTGGCCTCAGAGTCACTCCTGCCCCCTCTCCCTGACTTGGTGCTCACATGCACCTCACTAGGGTTTGTGACCAGGGTCTGGATGAGCTTGAATTGGAATGAATTGAGTTTGTATTTCTAGAACCCTGGGTTTTTACATGTTTGGTCTTTTTTTGTTTTGGTTTGTCACCCTCGATAAAGGAAGTATATTCATCCAAGTGCTGTTTCTGGCCCCTCTATCCTACCCATTCTACTTTTGAATACTCAGGTCTATGAGAGTGAGATGGGGGGAAGGAAGCATCTTCCAGGGGCACTGAAGATGAATCCAGGAGATAAGGGTTTAGGGTATCAGCTCTTAGCTGAGACCTGGCTTGGGCTAACCTCAGAGTGGATGAGACTTGTTCTTGTCTTTTGTCCAGTGATGATGGGAACACTGTCAAACCTGAACAGACCTGAATGTGAGGCAGCTTTGACTCTTGGGGCCCTGCCTTAGACTCGGTGGAATTACCAACAGCCCCTGGGGGGTGAAGGGAGACACCGGTGGTATGGGGGTGGGGAGTGAAAGCAGACCAGGCTCTTCTGGGAATATCTAAAATGGAGTCAGTAAACATGTTTTTTAAACAGAAGATTCTTTTTATCAAATAAAATCTTAAGCAGAATCCCAACATATAAAACATAGAATGGAATGACTTTGATCTGATTGAAGTAGAGGCTGCTTTCAGAGATCATAGCCCATCTTCTTGGCCTGTCATGGAGGCCTATGAGGCATCTCCACAGAGCCTGGTACTCTGTGAAGAGTTTGGAAATCCCTGATCTACTATTTTTTTTTTTTTTTTGAGACGGAGTTTCACTCTTGTTACCCAGGCTAGAGTGCAATGGCGCGATCTCGGCTCACCGCAACCTCCACCTCCCAGGTTCAGGCAGTTCTCCTACCTCAACCTCCTGAGTAGCTGGGATTACAGGCACGCCCCACCATGCCCAGCTAATGTTTTGTATTTTTAGTAGAGATGGGGTTTCACCATGTTGACCAGGATGGTCTCAATCTCTTGACCTCGTGATCCACCCGCCTCAGCCTCCCAAAGTGCTGGGATTACAGGCTTGAGCCACCGTGCCCGGCCTGATCTACTTTTAACTCCCAAATCTCTAAACTGAAGAGTGTTACAAAGGGGCCCAGAGAGTTAGAGAAATTTTCCAAGGCTGTGTGGTAAACCTAGGTCTCCTGTGTCCCAGGCCAGCAGGCCTTTCGTTCATTGCCTCCCTTTTTCAGCAAATTAAGACTAGAGCTGGCCGGCCGTGGCTTATGCCTGTAATCCCAGCACTTTGGGAGGCTGAGGTAGGCAGATCACCTGAGGTCAGGAGTTAGAGACCAGCCTGGCCAACATGGCAAAAACCTGTCTCTACTAAAAATATTAAAAAACAAAACAAAACAAAACAAAACTAGCCAGGCGTGGTGGTTGTGCCTGTAATCACAGCTACTCGGGAGGCTGAGGCAGGAGAATCTCTTGAACCTGGGAGGCGGAGGTTGCAGTGCGCCGAGATAATGCCATTGCACTCCAGCCTGGGTGACGAATGAGACTCCATCTCAAAAAAAAAAAAAAAAAAAAAACCAAAACCAAACAAAACAAAAACTAGAGCTACCTGCAGTTGCCTGCTCAACAGCTCAAATCATTTATTGTCAAACCATGCTGTCTGTCCTCAGGCCTTTAGGACTACTAGGGTCCTCGGAGCCTCAGAGTATGTTCTGCTTGATCCGGGCCTTCTTGGGCTTGATGTTCATGCGTTTCCAGACTTCAGCTGTGGTGCGGTCTGCTTTGGTGACCCCACTAAAGTCGAATGTGGTGATATGGGGCAGGGTGCACAGCACATACTGCCTGTGGGGAAGACTCAGGCTGGGGGCCAGCCCCCCCACCAGAATCCCCTTCCCCCTCCACCAGTTGCTGTTGTCTTCCCTGACTGCAAGGAATGGAGGGACTTGAGCATAGTTTGGGGAAGATTAGGTTTATCCTGACTGATAGCAAGGAATGCTTAAAGGCCTGCTACTCCCTTCCCAAATCCAAGCATGGCAAAAGAATGGTCTTAAATTTCTTGGTTCTCCTCCTCCTTTCCCTTAGGGGAGCCCAGCTAGACCCTACCTCCAGGGGCAGGGCACTTACCTATACCCCTTCTCTTCCTCCATGGGGTTCCCATGGAGTGTCAGGCTCCGGAGCCGAGGAAGGACAGCGAGCTTATTCACTTCCCCCAGGCGCTGGATGCTGTTGCCATGAAGATAGAGGACACTCAGGTTGAAGAAAGTTGTTAGGACCTGTTGGGGAAGGGAACCAAAAGCCAGGCTAGACAGGACCCTGATTCTATGCTCAGACCTGACTGGCGGGCAGAAAAGGAACAATATGGGGAACAACCTGCCCTCCACAGCCATACTGTATGATTCTAACCAATGTTTATTTACCTTTTTTTTTTTTTTTTTGAGTCGGAGTCTTGCTCTGTCACCCAGGCTGGAGTGCAGTGGCATGATCTCGGATCACTGCATCCTCTGCCTCCTGGATTCAACTGATTCTCCTTCCTCAGCCTCCCAAGTAGCTGGGACTATAGGCACACGCCACCATGCCTGGCTAATTTTTTGTATTTTTAGTAGAGGCGGGATTTTACCATGCTAGCCAGGGTGGTCTCAATCTCGTGACCTTGAGATCCACCCACCTCGGCCTCCCAAAGTGCTTGGATTACAGGCGTGAGCCACCATGCCCAGACTTATTTACCTTTTAAGAGATACAGGGCCTCACACTGAAAAGGAGCTGTGATCTGAGGTCAGGAGTATGGGCCTGGGTACCAGCACTGCCACTGACTTGCCTCTCCCGCCTCTCCCTCAGCCTTAGTTTCCCCTTATGAAGATCTTTCCAGCTTTGGTGATCTACGATTCTATCACAGCAAATGACAGGAAGACTGAGTATCATACTAGACACATAAGAAGCTTTTAAAATATTGGTTAAATTGAGAACACCACACCAGAGGAATCGTTTCCAAGTCATGCTCCAGTTTCTTTCTCTCCTTAGGGATTCTGGACTAGAAAAGGCCAAACTTTATTTCCTAAAACTTGAATCTGAGTTCACAGAAAGTAAGTGCTGTACTTTTACTGCCTACCTCTTCCATAGGAAAACCCAGCACAGGACACAGTGGGTGCCCAGTGACAGTACAATTTTACTTCGGCCTCTGATGTACTAGTTGTTTGTTGGTTTTCATGTATTTTCATTTAGTCCTTCACCATTGTTCAGACAAGAGGCTGCAGTTTTGAGAGGTTATGTAGTTTGCTGAAAGTCACAGCTAGCAAGAGGCAAACCCAGGATTTGAACCTACATCTGTCTGACCTCCCAGCCTGTGCTTTGCACTGCACCATGCTGCCTCACAACTTCCTTGATAACATGTAGGAGTGGAGAGGTTGGGGGCTGAACAAAGTGGCTTCAGACACTTTGACTGGAACCGAGAGACAGTCTGTTCCAGGCTTCAGCCACTTTGTTCAGCCCCCAACCTCTACATTCCTACATGTTATCCAGTCTCCCCTACTGGATTCCTAGGGGTTGGAACTCACAGGGTCAATGGAAGTCAGGTCATTAAAGGATAGGTCGATCCAGGCCAGGTTCTCTGGGTGCTCCAACAGCATTGAAGCCACCTGGTTGAAGTCTCTCAGATCATTGAGAACATTGTTGTTCAACCACAGGGACTGGGTCAGTGATTTCCCCGACTTTGAACGCTTCAGTGGTCGTAGCCCTGTCCTTGGCTCCTCATTTACCAGATCTGTGAGGACAAAGTGAGACTTGCTATGTCATCTTTGCTTTTCTGGCCTTAGGGAGTGAGAAGGGATAGAGCTGAAAAGATTAGCCATCCCAGCTGTAGCTGGAGGGTCTGGAAGGGCCACAGCCCTGTGCTTGAGTCTAGTGCAACCTTGTCCCACAGCTTTCAGCAATCAGTAAAGTCTAGACTAAGGTCCAGAGACTTCTATTCCAAACTCTTGACTTTCCAGGTCGTATGGACTTCTCATGTCTACTGTATCACTGGGTCTTTTGTATACCAAACCTGTGTGGGGTTGAGGAAGACTAAGGACCAGAATTGTTGGGCTTGAACTGAGAGATGATAGCACAAAATCCTGAATTAACTACTGGTAAAGCCTATAGAACTCACTTCAGTGGAATACACTCTGGTATTTCCCCTCTTTCCATTAATGTTGAGTACCCACAGTATGACAGGTAGTGGATATACAGTGATGAACAAAATCAGAGTCTGTTCCAGGCTTTGTATGAATAATAGGGCAGAGAGTAGACATCTGTGCCTTGCAGGAGCTTATATGGGCAAGATGGAGCAAGCTGGGAATATGGTGTGATAAGTGCTATATAATAGTTGTAGCAGCACAGAAGAGAGGCTATTGACCCAGTGTGGGCGCTCAGGGAAGTTTCCCAGGGAAGGTGAAGCCTGAGCTGAATCTCAGTGGATTAGGAGATGTCTATCAGGCAAAGAAGGGTAAAAAGGCGGGGAACAGCATGAAGAAAGGTATAGAGGTACAGAACAGTGGGGGGTTGGGGTGTGTGTGTGTGTGCCTGCACAAGTGCCTGCACACACTGCACAAGGGGGACGAAGAGGAAAAAAAAGAGGCAGGAGTCCAGTCAAAAGTCTTGAATGCCAGACTAAGGATTTTGGGCTTTACCCTGTAGGTGATGGGAAGGCACTGGAGTGTTGAAAGCAAATGATTCAAATCTTTTATTTCAGAAAGATCACTCTGAAGCTTCAGTGTGGTATATGGATTTTAGGGAGTGAGTTGGACCGAATGACCAATTCTGAGTCATCCAAGCAAGACATGAGAGGGACCTACAATCAACATAATTTGGTTGACTGGATGTAAAGTTAGAAGAGTATTAAAGAGTGGTGGCCAGTTGTATTAACTGGTAAGAAATTACAGAAGGAGAAACAGCATTGGGAAGGTGATGACTTCAGGCTTAGCTTTGGTGCTGTATAAAAAGGTGAGGAAGCCAAGTAGGCAGTTGCAGATGAAGGTCGGACGCTCAGGAGACATACACTTGAGAATTGTTAGCATAGAAGGCATACAAGTTAGGGAAAGAGATGAGATTCCTCAGGAAGAGTGTGGGTAGAGAAGAAGGTCAGGGAGGAAGAAGAGTCCATTAGAAAAGTTAAATAATCAGGGAAGGACAGGAAAAATCAGAACAGTCTATAAGATGTTCTGGGAGTCAGTAGTTTATAGTAGTAAGTTCCAGGGAGGTAAGGACTGAAAAGTAATTCTGGCAACTTGGAAGTCCCTGATAACCTTGGTAAGGGCTGCTTCAGTGGAATGGCAGGGGCCTGGGAGCAGAAGCCAGATTGGAGTGAGTGAGTGAGTGAAGAGTGAATGGAGGCTGTGTTCATGCCTGTAATCCGAGCACTTTGGGAGGCCAAGGCAGGAGGACTGCTTGAGCCCAGGTGTTTGAAACCAGCCTGGGCAACATTGTGAAATCCCTGTCTCTACCGAAAACAGAGTGAATGGATATAAGCAGTTAGCATAAACAACATCCTCAGAAAGCTTGGCTGAAGAGAAGAGAGAATAAGGAATAGGATGATGTTAGAACCCAGGCGTATGGAACACCCCAAACCCTCACTCCCACTTCTTTTTCAAAATGAGGTCCAGAAAGAGGACGGCCTTTGTTGCCCAAGTTCAAAGTCATAGAGTCACAACCAGATGCCAGGTCTAGCTGAGGTAACTGTATTTTTCCCACTGCCCCTAAGCCTTTGGTTCTCTAGATCCACCTCTGGGGAAGGAAGTGTTTAGTATTTGCTGAAGCTAGCCAGCTTTCTTCACTCTCCCTTTGCCCTTCCACCCCGTCCTCCTCAGCTGCAGGTCAGGCAGCATCCACCAGATGGCTCTCTGCCTTAGTCCTAAAGTGAGCAGTACCCACAGTTAGGGCCTGAGGTTGCAGGAGGGTACTGGAACAGAGTACCCCAGCTCATGAATTCCCAATCCTGCCTCCCTCTCCACACCTGAGAACCTGAAACAAAATAACACAGATGAATAAAAATTAAAGTCAAAATAACCCCACATGAACTAGCCCCGTATGTGATAAGGTAGCAGCTTGGGGAATGCCAAGCATAGGCTGGAGGCTGAGCTCAGAGGAACCACTGGGGGGATGGAGTTGCCTAAAACTTGATGCTGGCTAGAGCTGCTCTTATGAATGGAGTGGTGTATCCGGGCTGCCACAGGTTGCAGCTCTTCTCAGATTCCACCAACGCACTACACTGCCTAAGAATCTGTTCAGGCTCCTTGTTCAGAGTAGGCCAAGGCAAGTCTAGAAGCTGGACCACAAATATCAATGCTTTGAGAACTGGGGAGCATTTAGCTCCAGGAAGATCTGGGGAAACCATGTTCCTATTTTCCTTTCTTTGAAAGTCTGCCATGTAGGTGTTTCCATGTGTCAGAATGCAAGTCAGTTTGATAGACTTCCTTGTGTCATCCCTCAACCACAAACTAGAAGGGGTTGGTAGGTGTGTGTGGTGGGGGACTTCCTTAACACTCTAGGTTTGTGAAAAGTTAGAGGACTTGGGTTGGTGGTAGCACAGATTAGATGCCTTCCAAAGGCACTGCCATTTCAGATTCTGGAATAATTATTCATTCAGCAAATAGTGTGCCAAGTACCCTCAAACTCTATTGTATTCTTTAGCTCCAGCTATAAATAAGTGTTTCAGAAGCTCTGGGGAATCTCAAGGGACTCTGACCTTTTGGGGCTTTCATGTGCCTCTCACACACCTAGCAAGGAGCACAATACCTGGCATATACATATGATACACAAACATATATACACACACATACGTGTGTGTGTATCTGTGCGTGCGCACATGCGTGCATGTGTGAATGCTTACTAGTAAGTGCTCAGTAAATACTGAACAGTTGAATGATGGATGGGGCATCTGCACTGATAATGTTTTGTGGTGTAGAGTTATCCTTGGTACTACTTGTCTCCCAATTCTGAGGACTCCATAGAGGGCAGAGCTACACCTCCTCCCTCAGAGTTAGAAATTCCCATGATAGGTAGGAGGTATACTTCCCACCCACCTCTGTCATTTCACCTATCTTGGAGATAGCTATTATTGCAGCTAAAACCCCTTGTGAAACATGGACTACATCAAGCAGAAGTGATGCAGTGCATGTAAAGATCACAGTAGGTGGTTGTGTGCTCATGAGAGAACAAACGTGAGTTACCATTGTGGCTGATGATAACCCAAGTAGACCCTAAGCCCAATCGAAGACTGGTGCTATTTGCCAGCTCCCTGAGCTTAAAGGTGATGGTTACCAATTGCCTGAGAGAAGACTAAAGCCAAATAATAGGTCTAAGATAGTGGATGTTAACATGTATTCTGTGAGGGCAGATGTACTGATGCTTTAATGAAAGACCAGATAACAAAAGCCAGGGATGACAGAACTTCCCAAGGAAGAATGGGTGACTCATTGGAAACATGACATTGCTGAGAGCCTCTTTATGTTCCCTCCTGAAGGGACTAGCTGCCCATTTACAAAGACATTGAATGGCAAAATGGGAGTGAGTGTGGGCAGTGTTGGAACCTGCAATAAGTGTGGGTGATGATGGAATAAACTTGGACATGGCTGGAATGAGTGTAAGAAATTTGTCAGTTAAGTATTTAAACTGGAAATATGCCAGTTTGTTGATAAGACCCCTCGTGTTTGGCCAGTCAGAATAGAGTTGTGTCTGCGGACAGAGGAGAAGGGTTCTGCCTACTTGCTGGGGACTTCACAGCAGCCTGTGTTTTCCTCCTCTCTTCAGGTAAAAACAGGAAAATAAAACTATTGGCTGATAGACTGGCTTCCCAGTTTTTTTCTTCCATTTGACTTTCCTACTGTAGCCTGGCTTCTTTTAAAGATGATCAAGGCCGGGTGTGGTGGCTCATGCCTGTAATCCCAGCACTTTGGGAGGCCGAGTCAGGCAGATCACCTGAGGTCAGGAATTTGAGACTAGCCTGGCCAACATGGTGAAACCCTGTCTCTAAAAAAAAAAAAAAGAGATTAGGTTTTTCAATTTTAAAAAAAAAAAAAAAAGATCAAATACTGTGATAGCCCCCTGTTTCCTTTCAGATTTGCACTCAAAAAAACAAACTGGGCACATGTTCTCAGGATCTCCTGGGGCTGTGTCAGGGGCAAAAATAAACAAAGGACAAAAATAAACTCTCACTCTCCCCCACCTCCAAAAGACAGTAACAACACATCTGCAAGCATATGGGAAGAATCTCTTGTAGAAGATTATGGTTTCTCCCTAGGGACCACCCTGGGCCTGCTGCCTTAGTGAGTGGAGTGCTGTGCCCTGGGGGCTGACCTTGAATGATGTGGATGCTTCTGAAGGAGTAGTCAAGAGGGGGCTCCTGTACCCAAGTGTTCATATAGTCCTGTTTGTTCATAGTTCAGGTCATCATTCGTCAGGTGCAACCATGTGCCCTGGGAGTCCCGGTTCAGCCTGGGAGGACAGAGAAAGACCGGTGTTTCAAGTACACTGGCCTTCAGCTTCCCTATAGCCCTCGATCCCTGCTTTCTATCCTCTACTACTCCAGGCCTGCCTAGCTGCATTTCCATTTTAAGATATTAATCACTATTCCTTGCATGTATAGAGCACTTTCTACTTCTCAGAGCACTTTCATATCTCTTAGAACTCATTTGAGAGTTGTAACACCCATTTCTTTGTCTGGAAAATGCCAGGTGAAGAAACCCAAGGGGTAAAAGGACTTGCCCAGAGTTAAGCCAATGAGTCAGTTGTAGGCTGCAGTCATAATCTCCTGAATCCTACTCTAGACCCTTACTGTTACTCTACAGTAGTTACCATGGAGACTGTCTTGATACCCACCCTCTGGTGACATCAACTGGGCTATTCTACTGCTTAACAAATCCCTAAGGGCCTGCACTGCATCTGGTTGGTGTCTGACAGCCCCTCTCAGTCTGACCCAGCTGGGGATTTGCTACCTTCTCTGCTTAGCTTATCTGTCAGCCCCATTACCTTTCCATCCAAAGACCCTACTTTCAGCCCTATCCTGAATGTAGTCACACACATATAAACACATATACACATAAAACCAGAGTCTACCTCTCACTCACCTGTCACTGATGCCTGAAACTCCACCATTGGGGATTCATTCCTGTGGGTCCAGGGATTGTTCCCTGTCAAAATGGAAATATTCCCTGAGAGGGGTGAACACAATGTTATTTTCAGTCACTTGCAATGTGGTGTGAATTATCTTATCAGATCCCTTCCAATTTGTTAGCTAAAGTTAAGCTGAGGTTTTTCTGGAGACAGAGGAGAGAGTCATGAGAATACTACTCACCTGGGATAAAGAGGGCTGACAACACACTTTACCAAGGGGTTTGTATGTGAATCACACAAGCCAAAGAATGACAAGAACTTGTCCCAATCGACCTCCCCTTTCTTATTCCATCCACTGCTGCCACCTTTGTATTATTATTTGTATTATTTCACCTGCTTTCCAAAAAGGATTTCAGGTTTACAACAATAACACAGTCATAAAACAGATGATTTGCAGACTAGTGCTGGCCACCAGAATTATGTCACAAATGCAAGTCACATATATAATTTAAAATTTTCTAGTAGCCAAATAAGAAAAGTAAAATGAAGTGGTGAAATACTTTTTTTACTTCCAGCACATCCCAGTTTGGACTAGCCTACCTGTCAAATACTCAGTTCCTACACATGACTAGTGGCTACCATACTGGACAGTGTACAGATTACAAAGTTATAAATGGAAGAGAAAGATCAGAAACTAGATTACAGGAAGAGAGAGATGTACCAGGCACTTTAAGAATCTAAGCCTGTATTTAGCTCTGAAATTCCTGGCAGCCAAAGCAAAAAGAAACCTTGGGATTACAGTTCTCATCATTGGATTCAAATGATAAATTAGTTTACAGAGACAACAAAATTGGCAAATAGCCTTAAAATGGGATTTCTTAGGAGGCTGAAGCAGTTGGATTGCTTGAGCCTAGGAGGTGGAGGTTGCAGTGAACTATAATTGTGCCACTGCACTCCAGCCTGGGTGATAGAGCAAGACCCTGTCTCAAAAAAAAAAAAAAAAAAAAAAGAAAGAAAAAAGAATTTCTGTTAAAAACCAAGGACATATCTTATAATTCAGTTTAAGCTTAATACATTTCAAGTAAATTCCTTTTTTGGCAATTTAACATATACATGGATAGAGTTTAGCAGGTTTAGAGAAAAATGAATGTCTTGTTCTGAAAAAATAGCAGTCCCAACTGAGCTTTGGGGAAGTGCCATCTTGAGTCACTTCATGGCTTAATTCTATTATGAACTGGCTTCATGGGTATGGATTGTCAATTAGGGAGACTTGAGATATTAGGGAGACTTTTAGATATTAAATCTATGGGCAGACAACAATGAACACATTATTCTTTTGTAAAAATAGAGGAACCTGGCTTAGACAGAAACCCATCCCACTTCAAAACCTGTAACACATTTGATACCTTTGAGCAAGATTGGATACTTTTCTCAGAGTAAATACTGGTCGGTACCCCAGAGTTATGCACCACTGAACATGAATTTTAACTTAAAATACTTAAGGGCAGATTTTTACTGTTAGTTTTCTTGCCTATCAGAGAACCCCAGTGCAGTTTCTAAGGACTTCTGATTTTGTGTAGCACCAGCTCCTGTTGCATTTTCTGAATGAATTAATATTAAAAATGGAACCCCAAGAAGCTGCTTAAGTTTTAGCCTTCTGCATTTAAGCTGTAGTCCAGGCTGTGAGCTAGTATCGTGTCTTACTCATTATCCAACACAGAACCAGGTTTACAACAGGCACTCAAAAAATGTTTGTGGGATGAATGAATGAGAAACTGCTAAATCTGAGGATTCTGTTTCAGAAGAGTTGATGTTAAGTTGTTCTTTCTAACAATTGGCTCCCAGGTTCAGCTGTTTCAGTCAGCCCATACCTTGTTCACAGTAAGATATTCAATTCAATTCAGCAAACATTTGTTGAGTGCTTGCTGCCCTGTACCTGACCAGAAGAAATGAAGCCAAGATACAAATAATAGAACCCTGTCATAAGCACAGAAAGACCTGTGGAGTTTCTATTGATTGTGGCAAACCAGACTGCATCCAGTTCCAAGTAACGCCCACTTAGTGAATATTCTTTCATGTGTCAACACTCAGCTGTAGTATACCCTCTTCTATAAAGCCTTTCTTTTCCACATAAAATTGGTTAATGTGTCCTGTGTTAGGCTGATTATTTTGATGATTTCTATTCATGGTCTCCCCTGTATCCATTGCTTTTTGCCTATAACATTGTAGTCCCATCTCACTCTGATGCTGGGCCCAGACGTGGGACTTGTTTTAGCCAGTGGGATGTTGATAAACGTGAAGCCAGCAGAAGCTTTAAAGGGGGCCTGCCCTCTTGCTCTTTGCCTGTGCCATGAGAACATGGCTGATCTGCTAGAGGGTTATAAGAGATGTGTAGGTGAGAGACACGTGAAAGAGCTGTGATTCCAGCTGAAGCCACTCTAGACTAGCTTACAGTCAGCTTACCCCTAGTCAAGATCAGGAGAGTCACCCAACCATGGGTGACAGGAGACACATGAGTAAGCCCAGCCAAGACCAGAAGAACCATCCAGCTGACTCTGACTTAGAAGCAATAATAAATGTTTATTATCCTAAGCCACTGTGTTTTGGAATGGTTTGTTAACACAGCAAAGCTAACTTCTACATGTCCCCACGGTATTTTGAACAAAATTTTATTACAGCCTGTTTACTCATCTATGAAATGGAGACAAACCCTACCTTGAGAACTACTGTACATCTGGCTTCAGGTGCTCAATAAATGGAAGCAGTTGTATTCTCTGTTAATTTCTTTACAACCTACTTTCTTTGCCCTCCCTATAAGCTTGAGAACAGGGACAAGACTCAGATTCTTTCTTTCTCCCTTCTCATCATTACCCTGCATTGAGCCTGGCAAAAAAAAAAAGAAAAAAAAATGCATATTCACTAAAGGTTTGATGGACAATTGAAAATGGATGGATGAATGGAAAAATGAAAAAAGAAATAAGGAATTAATGCAGTTTTCAAGGTGTCATGTTGAGAGCTTGACTGCTGGGGAGAACTGACAAAGCCTTGATGCAGCCATGCTTACTCCTGTGGCTGTGTTTTTGGAGTCAGTCTTTCCCAGCTGCTATTCTGGCTTATGACCAGGAGATAATCAGGTGCCAGCACCTTCATCTGTCCAGACGGACTGACTTGAAGAATGACAGGGTTAGGGGCATACCTGCCTTGTTTCGGAACTGGAATTTCTCATTTCCAAATTAACAGTATCTTTAACTGTTTTGTTTTTTAATTGTAAAAGCTAATATGATAGGTGAATAAAGTGAAGCAACATAGAAAAGTACATCAAATAGAAACTTAAAAGTCTGAGGCCGGGCGTGGTGGCTCACGCCTGTAATCCAAGCACTTTGGAGGCCAAGGTGGGCTCCAAAGATCGGATCACCTGAGGTCGGGAGTTCAAGACCAGCCTGACCAACATGGTGAAACCCCATCTTTTAAAAAAAAAAAAAGAAACTTAAGGCTGGGCGCAGTGGCTCAAGCCTGTAATCCCAGCACTTTGGGAGGCCGAGGCGGGTGGATCACAAGGTCAAGAGATCGAGACCATCCTGGTCAACATGGTGAAACCCCGTCTCTACTAAAAATACAAAAAATTAGCTGGGCATGGTGGCACGTGCCTGTAATCCCAGCTACTCAGGAGGCTGAGGCAGGAGAATTGCCTGAACCCAGGAGGCGGAGGTTGCGGTGAGCCGAGATCGCGCCATTGCACTCTAGCCTGGGTAACGAGTGAAACTGCGTCTCAAAAAAAAAAAAAAAAAAGAAACTTAAAAGTCTGAATCTCAATTAACAGTTTGGGAATATAACCTCCTAGAATGTATATCTAATAAGGTTATACACACATACACACCACACACAGCTTTTTTTTTTTTTTTTTTTTTTTGGTTTGAGACAAGGTCTCACTCTGTTGCCCAGGCCAGAGTGCAATGGTGCCATCTCGGCTCACTGCAACCTCTGCCTCCCTGCGCTGAGGCAGTCCTCCTACCTCAGCCTCTCAGGTAGCTGGGACTACAGGAACATGTCACCATGCCCTGCTAGCTTTTGTATTTTTTGTAGAGACAGGGTTTTACCCTGTTGCTTAGGCTGGTCTTGAACTCCTGGGCTCAAGCCATTAACTTACCTTGGCTTCCCAAAGCGCTGGGATTATAGGTGTGAGCCACTGTGCCCAGCCTAGATTATGTACATTTTTAAATAAACAATCTCTATGCCTTCGTAAACCTATTTTTTAATTTTCAAATTGTTGTAGACTCTTACCTTTTTTAATAGTTGCAAAGTATACTATGTATCATACTTTAATGTTATTTACTTAATTTAACTTTATTTACCCAATTCCAAATTGACAGAAAACTGTTTTCAGTTTTGGGAAATTACTAACAATTGGAATTTGATTTGTTGCTAGCCCATTCCTGCCCTCTCTCAGGCAAGCTGCAACATGGTAAGACAGGAAGGTTTGAGGAATAATCACATAAATCTGATAGGAGATTCAATAGCCTGGCCTGAGAGTTTCTGATGATGGACTGAGTGGGGAAGAAAAAGAATGCTATGATAAATCTGCCACATATTTAGCCAGGCGTAGCAGCTCACGCCTATAGTCCCAGCTACTTGGGAAGCTGAGGCAGGAGATGGCTCAAGCCCAGGAGTTCGGGGCTGCAGTGAGCTATGACCGTGCCACTGCATTCCAGTCTAGTTAACAGAGCAAGACCCTGTCAAAAGAAAAGAAACATCTGCCACATAATCTAATATAGTCTGTTAGGTTATATTCCCAGGTGTCAAAGGGAGGCCCAAGATTCAACCTGGCTCCTGTCCACCCCCCTCTACTCCCATCCATCCTCACCTCCAATTCTGCAGTTCAGCCAAATGCAACTACTCACCTTAAGTTCTCTCCACCTGCCGCTGGGCCTAAGTGGAACAGTGTCTCCTTCCAGCGCTCTCTGCTAGGAATATAGTTTTCTCCTTCCTTTTGTTTTGCTAATTCTTACTTCAGGGCTCAGATCAGGTTTCAACTTTTCTAAGAAGTATACCCTTATCCTCAAATCTGTAATTATAGTGTTATGATTGCCATGGTAGCACTCATAACACTATAATTATCTGCTTACTATCTGTATGTCCATAAACACAACCAGGGCAGGAACCATGTTTTTCTTACAGTTGTATCTTATAGTGCTGGCAAGTAGTAGGTGCTTAGCAAATACATTAAAAATTGCAATGAAATAACACTACAAAGGAGAGGGACATGAGATTACTGTAATTGAGGGATCTGACCTGGTCTGAGCAGTCTTTAGGAAGACATTCCTGAAGAAGTGACTGAGAGAAATCTAAAGGATAAGTACAAATTAACTTATGGGGTGGGGGGGGGTTGTGTGGAATGAGCATTCCAGGCAGATGTGACTGCTATATGCAAAGGGTCTATGGTGGAAGGGTACTTGGAAATTTTGAAGACCTTAAAGGTTATATAACTGAAGGGGAGAGGAGGAATATGTATGGTTAGACTGGAGGCTGGAGAGATGGGAGTAATAGGAAACCATAAACTGTTAATATTAAATGGGGGCTGGCCTGCCACTGTGGCCCATGCCTGTAATCCCAGCACTTTGGGAGGCCAAGGCAGGCGGATCACAGAGGTGAGGAATTTGAGACCAGCCTGACCAACATGGAGAAACCCCTTCTCTACTATTAGCCGGGTGTGGTGGCACATGCCTGTAATCCCAGCTGCTCGGGAGGCTGAGGCAGGAGAATCGCTTGAACCAGGGAGGCGGAGGTTGTGGTGAGCTGAGATCATGCCATTGCACTGCAGCCTGGGCAACAAGAGTGAAACTCCGTCTCAAAAAAAAGGTGGGGGTGGGGTGGAGCAAGTGAACAATATCAGCTTTGCATTTTGAAGAATTACTCTGGTTGCAGTATGAAAATATGGCTGGAAGGGAAGGCAAGAAGGATGTGATGGTAGCAAGGACCTATATAAAATATATTCAAGAAGTAAAGCTGATAAGACTTCATAATAGATGGGAAATGGAAGAGGTATTAAGTAAATGGAAAAGGTATTAACTCTTGGGTTTTGGGCTTGTGTTTACTGTGGAAAAAGGTAGGAGCACTAAAAGAGATCCAGGCTTGGAGGAAAGGGTTGGGGTACATAGAGATTGGTTTCAATTTCAGAAATGCAGAGTTTGGGTTGCCTTTGAGATATCCTAAAGGAGATGTTGAGGAGGTAATTGGCTATATAGATCTGGAGCTTAGAGATGAGAGCTGGGCTGGAGACATACAGTGTGTACATCTGCATACAGGTGGAAAATGAAGTTGTGGGTATGGAGGAGTACCCAAGAAGAGAATATAGAGTGCCGTGGCAAGCGGGCATAGGAACAAGCCTGGGAGAACTTTAAGGTAGTAAGTGGACCAATCAGGGCCAGCTAGCCACCAGCTAAAAACCAGCTAATCATGGTCACTTCAGACATGGGTGCTGTGTTAGCCCTCCTGTTTCCTGTTTAGTTAAAAATGTCAAGTCTCATTGTCTTTAGTCTCTCTAGTTCCTTTTCCCCATTACAGCTTTCATGGAAGGATCTGAAATTTATTCAGGCTGAAGTGTAAATAGTCCAAAGTAGGCCATACAAGTTACTTTTCCCTGGGGCAGTTTAACTTGTTCCTTGGAACAAGTCTGGAGTCTAGTTCTAGCTTTGTCACTAATTTGGTGTGTGGCCTTGGGCAAGTCCCTTTTCTCTGGATTTCGTTTTTCCAATCTGAAATGGAGACAAATACCCTTGACTCACAGAGCTGTTAAAAGTATCAATAGAGAGTGTGAAAGCGCTGGGTAAGTTACTCAATGTAATAGATCTGTGAGGACTAAAAAGAATATAACTAACTAGAGCTTTGAGTAGCAGACCATGGAGAAGGTGTGGGGAGAAAAGGGAATCTGGGAACAGTGTGGGATGATCCTGTCAATTGAGAAGAGGTTTTACTCCTTGGGGGAGGAAGGAAAGAGGCACTTCACGCTCCAGGAAGTTTCCTACATCTCCAGAGTTAGGGTAGGGACTGCGGATTTACTCTATCTAATGCTAATCGCATGTTTTGGAAGAGGGTTGAAATTCTTCAGAGGAAAACCAAAGCCATTTCTGAGGGCGTTTCTGATCTCCCAGGTTAGGCCTGGTACTTGAAGCATCCGATTTTGGGAGCCTCATGTTTGCGTTGGGGGCGGAGGTTCGTTGTTTTGTTTTTGTTTTTGTTTTTGTTTTGTTTGAGATGGGGATATTGCTCTGTAGCCCAGGCTGGAGTGTAGTGGTGCAATCACGGCTCACTGGCAGCCTCAATTTCTGTGCTCAAGCGATCCTCCTACCTCAGCCTCCCTAGTAGCTGGGGCCACAAGAGTATGCCACCAAGCCCGGGTAATTTTTTGTGTTTTTGGTAGAGACGGGGTTTCGCCATGTTTTTAAGACTGGTCTCGAACTTCTGGTCTTAAGCGATCCGCCAGTTTTGGTCTCCCAAACTGTTGGGATTACAGGCGTGAGACACCGCGTCCGGCCCTGGGGGAGGTTCTTAAACACTCCCAGATCTGTATGGGTTTGTATCTCAACGCCTTTCCCTCCCTCTGCCCCCACAGTTTGTCACATGTGGGTGTTGTGTCTTGTTCACTGTGAAAGGGGATGAGGGTAGGTGGGGGAAATCTCAGATCCCCCAGCAGGGAAGTTCTTAGTCGTTCTGTGGGTGCCCCTCCCTTCTCCATAGATCTCTAGTCCCCTAGAACGGGTTTTCTGTATTCCCGACTGACTCACCCGCAGTTGCTTCCTCTCCAGTCTCGGCGTCCCTCAGGGTTACTCAGGGCAACTCCATGGCAACTACTTTAGTTGCCACTACCCCGCAGGCGCCATGAGAACTGACGCTATGCTTACCGGGGGGCGGAGCTCCAAGGCCGCGGGTGGCGCTGGTATTTGTAGTTTTCTTTGCCTTCAAGTCCAGGCCAGGGTCCGGAAGCGGTGATACCCCTTCTCTTTCCCAGTGGCCCTCAAACTTCCTTTCCCCGGGTCCTTAAGCGTGCCCCGCGTAAGACAACTGCCGACAGAGGCCAATCAGAGGGCAGCACGAGGGGGCGGAGCCATGGTTTAAACTAATTGTGCGCTCACAGCGCTGGCCGGAGCCCGCGACAAGGTACGATTAGTGGGAATCAAGGGGCGGAGCGGGAGCGTGCGGCCAGGTAACCGGCGCGGGCCCGCGTCTAGCGTGCGGCCTGCGCACCGGGGTGCTGGAGAGGCCGGTGCGAGCGGAAGGCCTCCTCCGTAACCGAGTCCGAAAGGGCAGAATCTGGGGGTAAGGTTTGTTAGGAGAGCCGCCTGTCTGAGGAGGAGGAGCCGGGGGTGCCATAAAAGGGAGGGTCTGTTTGGGGGCGTGTCTGTGAAATTAAGTCTGAGGGCACTGGGGGTCGGGGGTCGGGGGTCGGGGGTTTGAGGTAGGGCAAATTCCTGAAAGGCTTGTAAGCGAGGGGTCGGGTCCTGGAAAGTCTTCACCGTTTATCGTTAACAATAGCAGTAGTTATAGTAGTGCAGTAGTCAGCATTTTTCTGAGGTACACTGTCCACAATGACCTGCCAAAGGTTTATCTTTTCAATCCTCTAACCACCTGTTATACTTTAAAGATGGGGAGCCTGAGGTTTCTAATGTTTAGCTTGGCCAGGGTTACGTAGCCAGTGTGAGGTTGGCTGTACTTGGGGTTTTGCCGGTTGGGCATAAATGAGGACGGGGAAGGTGGTTTCTGGGGGTGCGCATTGTCTTGGACTGGTCGGTGTATTTTGAGCCTCACTTTTCGTATATGTAAACTTACCTACTTCCTGGGGGTAGTTGTCCTGGTCAAAAGAGGTAGGTCTTTTTATTTTTTATTTTATGGGTTTATTTTGTTTTGGTATTTTGTTTTATTCACAGATAACATGTTTCATACACCCACCTCGGAGAGTACAAATTTATGATTATAAGTGATGTGACCGTGTGAAGATTGTGGGTTGGTGCTGCCGCTTCTGGGTACTCTCTTTTGCTTACCTCTGAGTTAGCACTTGTCATCTGGTATTTTAAGAGTCTGCGTGTTTGTCTGCCCTTCTAGATAATGAGAGACTTTTTCGTCACTGTATCCTAATGGCTAAGGCAGGATTTGCGACATGTAATGGGCATTAATGTTTGCTTTGGAATAATGTGTTTTCCTGGACTGAAAGGACACAGGAACTTTGCTTTCCCATTTTCATTTAGTGGCATTTGAACCTCAGTATTAAGCTGTCCTCTTTCCTGGAATGGCACTCCCTCTTGAAAACGTGATGATATTTTCTTGCCTTAATACATACTTTCCTCTCTCTAGTATCTGTTCCCTGGTTCTATGTTTCCAAACTTCTGGGTTGTCTGGTCGTTAAAGCTTTCATGGTAAGGGAGTTGGGCCTCTCTACTTTGTGGAAATCTTTACTGCTGTGAATATATGGGAACCTGGGGCGAACATGAGGATCATGTAAAGTAGCTTTCAGTCAGCACGGATGGGTGTATTTTTCCTCTCTCCCTCTGTTTCTGTGTGGTATTTTCTTCTTTAGAGGAAGAAGCACATATTTCTTTGTGAAAGCTTCCAAAGTACTCTTAGCATAAGTTCAAGCAGTGATTACTAATTGTAATGCTTAATCTTAGTTCAAAGCAAAAAGCTGTGCACCTCAAAAGCTTAAAGATCTTACCTGAAAGCTCATTAAGGAACATAGAATTCTTTTTTACATGTGGAATATGGAAGTGGGAAGAATGCCTTGAAATAAGACTTGAATTCTAGAACTGTTAGGATGAGGGCAAAGCCCTGCTTAGGTGGCTAAACAGAGCTGATCAGGGGCTGTTTGGACAGCTGTGTCTAATTGATAATATTATCAGAAGATGTAAGTTGGTGCAAAAGTAATTGCAGTTATTGCCATTGAAAGGATGTGGTCATTTAATTCGGCCTCTAACCCAGTGCACACTAAACGTATAAAAAGGTGTTGCCCAGACTCAAAATGAGGACTTTTAGAATGAGACCATTCCCAAAGTCAGTCCATCTCGATGTTGAGCAATTCTATAATTATTACTTGTGCTCGTCTCGGCAGCACATATACTAAAATTGGAACGATACAGAGAAGTTAGCATGGCCCCTGCGAAAGGATAACATGCAAATTCGTGAAGCGTTCCATATTTTTTTTTATTTAAAAAAATTATTATTATTATTACTTTGTATCTGGGCATGGTGGCTGGTCATGTCATCCCATCTACTCTGGAGGCTGAGGCAGGAGGAGCAGCGGAAGGATTGCTTGAGGCCAGGAGTTCCTGGTTAGCTTGGGCAACATAGTGAGACTCCATCTCAATTAAAATGTGTGTTGTTTTATATTGTTAGTGATTATTTCGTTTCACCCATATATATCTACTGTTTCTCCAGTTTTCCTTGCATTTTATTCCTTTTTTTTTTTTTTTTTTTGGAGAGGGATTTTCACTTTTTTTACCCAGGCTGGAGTGCAATGGCGCGATCTCGGCTCACCGCAACCTCCGCCTCCTGGGTTAAGGCAATTCTCCTGCCTCAGCCTCCTGAGTAGCTGGGATTACAGGCACGTGCCACTATGCCCAGCTAATGTTTTGTATTTTTAGTAGAGACGGGGTTTCACCATGTTGACCAGGATGGTCTCGATCTCTTGACCTCGTGATCCACCCGCCTCAGCCTCCCAAAGTACTAGGATTACAGGCTTGAGCCACTGCGCCCGGCCTATTCCTTCCTTTTTTGTTGAATAGATACATACATCCTTCATATGTTTGCTTAGGTGGGAATCTGTTAGTGGTAAACACTGTCTTCATTAAAAAAAATCTTTATTTCACCTTCAGTCTTGATTGATAGTTTAGCTGTGTATTAGGCTTCCAATTATTGTCTGAACACTTTGAAAGTGTTATTTCATTGAAATTCTGAATTTTTGTTGTTACTCTTGAGAACTATGCTTACAAATTAACTTATTTTTTTGTAGGTAAGCTGTCTTTCTTTCTGGTTGTTTTTAAGATCCTCTTTGTTGTCATTTGTGTTCTGTATTTCCATTATAGGTTGTGAATTTAATTTTATTAAATCACTATGTACTGGGGGCATATAGTAATTCCTTAATCTGAAATTTCATGTCTTTTCACAAATTTTGTAAAAATTCCCAATCATTACCTCTTTACCTCTTTCAGATCTCATGTTTCACTTATGTTGGACTTCCTCATTCTGTCTTTCACATCTTATTCTTTCATAATTTCCATTTACATCTTTCTGTTAACTTCTGGGTAATTTCCTTATATCTTTCTTCTAGTATCCTAGTTTACTCTTCAGCTAGGTCTAATTTGCTTTCTGAATTCTTATTTTCATTAGCTAACCTTTTTCACTTATTAGGAGTGCTCTTTGGTTCATTTTCAAATCTGCTTGTTTTTCATGATCTTGTTTTTGTCTCATGTTTTCAATTTTGTGTCTATAATAATTTTAAAGAAAGTTGAGTTTTGTGGTTTCCAATGTCTTGTAAAAAATAAAACAAGACAAAACAGAAAAAGTTGAGTTTTGGCAGATATCCGCATCTGCAAAAAGCAGCCATAGTCGAAATACAGAGCATTTCTCTCATCCCCAGAAGATTTCTCATGCTTCTTTACAGTCCATTTTTCCATTCACCCTGGTCCCAGGAACCACTGATTGTTTTTTTTTTCCACTACAGATTAATTTCTGCTTTCTAGAATTTTATTTTATTTTAAGATAGGATCTGTCTGGCTCTGTTGCCCAGGCTGGAGTGCAGTTGCAGGATCTTGGCTCACTGCAACTTCTGCCTCCTGGGGTCACGCAATCCGCCCACCTCAGCCTCCCAAGTAGCTGGGACCCCAAGTGCACACCACCATACCCAGCACATTTTTATATTTTTTGTAGAGACAGGGTTTTCCCATGTTGCCCAGGCTGGTCTTGAACTCCTGGGCTCAAGCAGTCCACCCACCTCAGCCTCCCAATGTGTTGGGATTACTGCAACTACCTCACTCAGCCTGTTTTGAATTACTAGAAGATTTTTTTCCTTCTACCTCACTGGGTGAGCAAGGCAAGCTTTTTTATTTCTCTCTGGACAGATTTTTTTTCCTAGTCTGTTATCTTACTGAGTATAAACTTAAGAGTCTCAACCTCTGGACAGGGATCTCAATGCCTTTTGTGGGCTCAAGATCTGTCTTCTGAACCTATGAGGGTGTTAAAGATTCTTTATGCTGCTAGGACAGCACATCATCAGCCACTAAACCTGCTCGCCAATTCTTTGTTTCTGGTTCCTGGGGATTTCCCTTACTTTCTTATGAGCTCAGTTTATCTATATGTCAGTTCAGATCCAATCAGCAAAACGGAAACCACACCATAAACTCCATAAAGGAAACTGGTTTAAACCCTTGATGGAGGGCTAAAAAAGCAAAAAGGAATATTAAAGTAACTTTGATATAATAACTGCATAAAGGAGTTTTCTCATCCGGGACTGAAAAACAAAGGGAGGAAGGTTGGGATTACCAGAACCTAGAAATCTGGAGGGATCTGGAGGAGCTGCGCCCAGATTCTCTGGGGAGAAGGTGTTGCCTGGTGCTGCTGGTTTCTCAAGCCCTCACAGGAGGAACCTGGAGGAGCTAGCTTCAGTTGAGCCTTACTTAGCTGATGCTAATGCCTCTGAGGGGCAGAAGGCTGGTTTTGGGAGTTTAGAAAGGAACTGGGAAGAACCAACTTCTGTTGTCAAGAAACACCAGGCTACAGGAAGGAGGAAGTCCCTTGTAGCCTCCTCTTGTCTTCTGTTTTCCCTTTAGCACCCCCTGCTGACAGGGAGCCTGTGAAATGGAGTTTAGTGGAGTCTAGGCCCCAGCATCACAAAGTAGAGCATAGCAGGGTGGATGTGGAGCTGAGAAACAATACC